AAATGAACAGTTATTGAGATTTTTTTACTTAAATATCCTAGATTTAGGCATTTCAACCACTGTTAAGGCCTTAATCTAAAGATTAAAATGGGCGGACTTAATGCCATATGGCGTTCTCTACCAGTCAACCCTGAAAGAATTAATAAACGTAGTGATTATATTCTCTTTGAAGTAAAAGTTGGTAGGTGTCAAAAATGTAAAAATTACTAGACGTATATTGTACGAATATATAAACATAAAATATATTCGCATACGTACTAATAATACATATATAAAAATAATATAAATTATGAAAATATTAAATCATAATATATATAATAAATAATATAATAAATATTGTATATATAATATATAAAATAACTAAAAATAATAATAGAAATCGACGGTCAAATGGAATTTTCCTTAAGATAATGTTGTCGGACCTGTCTCTTAAACGAGTGCTTATTCGATGATTTTCTTATATCAACGGGCAGGGCGTTCCAGAGAAGTATTGCCTGAACTATAAATGAGGAATTAAAGAAACCAGTATTATGCTGAGGTATATGAATCGTAAGGACGTTAGTGGAACGAGGTTCACGCTCAAGAGTTGAATACCGAAAGTGGAAGTTATCTTTAAGTTAAGAAGGAGACGTCGGATCATTTAATATAGAAAAAAAGGTTAGTAAGATTCTGGAGCAACGCCTCTGACGAATAGAAAGCCATTTAAGCGCTTGGAACGAAAAGCAGTGATGTGGTCGTATTGTCGTAAGTTGAAGATAAATCTTATACAGTTGTTGAGAAGGCGCTCCAACTTGTTAAGAAGATTTTGCGATAGGTCAGGATAGCACACGTCTGCATAGTCTATAATAGGAAGTATAAGGGAATTAACCAGCAAAAGCTTGGTTTTAAAGGGTAAGAAATTTTTAAAACGATAAAGGGAACGTAGAGTGGCAACAACTTTACGACTAATTTGCGAGATTTGTACTTGCCAGTTCATAGAGTGATCTATGTGCAAACCCAAATTAACTATGGAATCAGAAAATGGAATTGAAATTCCATTGTACAAAACTGGTTCAAGGTTTCCATAGTTAATCATATTCAGCATTCTAGAGCTACCAACGACCATTGATTTACATTTTGACGGATTTACTGAAACACCAAATTTATTTGACCAGCCACGGATGGCCTCTAAGTTCGTGTTTAATTTCCTGATTCCATTATTTATATCATCGATATTGCATTGTACATATAGCTGAAGATCATCAGCATACAGATAGTATGAGCAACTGAAATCATTAGATATTGAGTTTATAAATAGCGAAAAACAATATTGGAGATAATATACCGCCTTGCGGTACGCCAGTTTTAACGTCAGCCCAAGCAGAAAACTGCTCCCTTGACCTAACCAGTTGCTGACGACCGCGAAGATAGGACGAGAACCATTCCAAGGCTGGAGATGAGAATCTGAGATAAGTAAAAATAGATAGGAGGATATCGTGGTCGACTGTGTTAAAAGCATTTGAAAAGTCAACAAGCGCCACCACTGTAATTTTTCGTTCATCCATCCCTTTTCTAATGACATCCGTGATCTTAATCAGTGCAGTGGTGGTACTGTGACCAGAGCGAAACCCTGACTGAAAGATATCCAGTAGGTTATATTTTTTAATGAAAATAGATAATTGCTTATGTACACAGGCTTCCAAAACTTTAGAGAGATATGGGAGAATAGAAATTGGACGATAGTTATTAGGTAGTTCAGGATATGTATTTTTGGGAGAGGGCGTATATGAGCTCTTTTCCATAATGTTGGATATTGACCTGTGTCTAGTGAGTAATTAATGACATGTGTGATAGCTGGCAGAAGGAAGTCAAGCAATGTAATAATCATAAATTTACTAATCTCATCACAACCTACTGCCTTGGAGTTAATAGCTAATACAGCTTTAGCTATTTCATCTTGAGTTACAGGAGAAAATTCGAAAAAATGAATAGTCAGAGGTTGCATAGAAGCAATAGTTTATGATCTAACAGAAGGGTCCAATGTATAAGTTGAGACAAAATGACGATTTATATCATCCAGATTAAGAGAACTATTATCAGATGACAGCAGCTTAGTAATGCCAAGAGATTTTAAGAATTTCCACATATCAGCAGTCGAAGTGTTGGTTATATTATCATGAATGTAACGGCGTTTAGCATTTCGTACCATCTGATTGCATTTCTGTTTCTTAGCAATTTAAAGCTAGACCAGTTCTCTTCTGTACGTGCTCTTTTGTATTTCTGATATGCCCGATCACGTCTCAGCATTGCCACTCGTACACCTTTAGTCATCCAAGGGGCAGGAGGACGCTTTAGTCTTACTTGATAAATTGGCGCATGGACGTTATAGAGATTCAGAATAACGGTGTTCAGAAAGGAAATTTTGTCATCTATTGTAGAAGCAGCCCCCAATGGAGCTAAATCAGTAAGAGCAGCGTCCCTCCTGAGTTTGTCAATATTTAGACTGGACAAATTGCGTAAATGTAATATAGAAGGAATATGTTTGGGAGGTTTAATTCTATAAGACAAAAAAATTAGATCATGGGGTGAAAAGCAAGGGACTCAATTCATATACGATTTATAGACGATATATGAATTTTGTACCTAATTTTTAAAATGGCAATCTTACACAACCTGAAGGAAAGAAACAGCGATATTTTTTCTCGCTTTATTTTTACAAGCCCAACACAGTCATTGACAAAATCACGATTGTGTGCAGATTTTTCAGCTTACATACAAAGTTGCATCACCATGATATGAACTATATAACAGTTTTGGTCTTCTTAAATATTATTCTAGATAGGATTTCGATCATGAAGAATTTATTATAAGAATAATTGATTTGCGGCCATCTAGTTTTATCCAGTGAGCGTCACCTTACCATAGAACACAGCGAATACTCGCTGCGATTAGGCACTCGCAGCGAGAATTCGCTATGTGTCACAGGCTGTTCGCTGCGATTAGATTTATTCGCCGCGAGTTGCAATCGCTGCGAATTGAATTGAACATGTTCAATTTTACTCTCTGCGAATGAACACTTGCTGCGAGAATTCGCTGTGTGACAGGGTACTCGCTGCGAATAGCCATTCCGATCCAGACTACACGCCTGGATCGTTTCATTGCTGCATAATACATGTGTGTAGGTCAATCAAATGAGTTAACCGATAAACGATTCTCTAAAATGGGGAATTTACGATATAATTCGTTTTTTGAGTGTGCATAGAAAAAATGCACACTCAAGAAACGAATTATATCGTTTGGCTGGTATCGGGGGGCTGTTTTACATAAATAACAGTAATTTAAAAAAAACGCAAAGGCAGTATTTGTTCATTGTTTAATGAATTAATTGAGTTGGGATTCGAAATAGCAACCCAAAAGTAATTGAAAAGAAAATTTAAGAATATAAAAGATACATATTATAGATAATTCTCGTGTAATACTCGCTGTGTGACAGACAGGCAGTGAACTGTCCCTGCGAGTAATATTCGCTGTGTATGACCGAAACTTTAGATACGGTCGCCTTTTTGTCGCACCGCCTTGGCACGTTCTGCATCATGCCAAAGGTGCCGTCGCGACATCAAAAGTCGTCGCGTGTGGCGTACAACCGCAGAAAAATTTGGCGAAAACGAAACGCCGTAGTGAAATGTTCTTTGCTACCTAACTTGTGTTCATTATTTATATTCGTATTTTATTACAATAACTATAAGAATAAAATAGTATTCTATTTTATCATTAGAATACAAAAACATTTATATAAAAAAATACAAAAAAATAAAATAAAAGCAAAATTATAAGTGCGCCTCCAGCTGTACCGACACTATCTTAGCGAACAGACTATACTCCTGTCGGAGCGTCTTCTCACTTACCGGCACTAGGCTGCCACTGAAGAACCTTCTCCCTTATCGGTTCTTCGCAGTATATGGTCGGCCCATTGCCACTTCAGCGCACTGATCCTTTGTTCTATATCGGTTACTCTGGTTCTACTGCGAACATTTTCATTTCGAAGTCTATTACGCAGAAAAACTCGAACAGCAGGGAAGAACTATGTCTCAGATCTATGTCATCACTGGCAAACTATAGTAGTTGTACACTCTTTTTTCAAGCTTTAGGGTTTTTGTTTACATGACGAGATAATGTTTTTTTTAATATAGAATAAGGGTAAAACGAGCACACAGTCTTACCATCACACAAAACTTCATAATTTGAATACTTTTTTTTTAATAGGATAGGGTGACAAACGAGCACACAGTCCACCTGAAGGTAAGTGGTTGCTGTGACCCATAAACAAAAAGGGTCTCCGGTTCTCTACATTCACCATACGAAACACAGCAGTCTCAAGCTGCCATTTTACGCTGGTATTCTGTGAGAGGGTGGTCCTTCCCCGGTCGAGCCGACCCATTCGTGCTAAAACTATACTACTAATATAGCTGCAGCATGGCTCTACCACGTATAAAAATGTGTCGTAGTTTCACAAACTGCCAAGCCGAGTTGCATATGATTTACTCTTGGATTGTTACTCACACTTGCGTGTCACTCCTCACTCTTGAACATAGGTTGCCGAAGCATACCGAGGGCCGTCGTGGCGTACCAGGGGCTGACACAGCATCCATAAACTCACCGCAGCGTTGTTTTTCTAGCTACGACTATCATTAAAATTTCACCTGTTGCACAATACTAAATACTACTGATATTCGTCATCTAAAAACCCCGTGCTGTGCCGTCCCGGTATTAGATCCCAAGCTTCATTATTTATATTCGTTTATTTATTTTCGAAAAATATCATCGCGTAAGTGTTGTGTAACAAGGGTGGTGTTATTACAATAAATACAGGTGATATTTTTTACAGAGTGCTCGAGTGTTGGCTTCACGGCACGGTGTCGGTTTTCAATCTGAAGCAGATTCAGTAAAAGGCTTGACAGGTGAGAGCCATCATTACGATATGACAAAGTTCAATATTTGAATAAGAAATAAAACCACATCTTCATTATTGGTAGGTCATAATTTAATGCAGTTTTCTTTTATCATTAAAAATTTGCTTCTGCTTTTATTTATTAATATGACAAATGGAATATTGTTTGATAACTAGATTAAATATCTATTCTGTGACACTAATTTAAACAACTTTTATATTTTATTAGCACTTTGTACAAGGACTGCTTTACTAATACTTATTATAAATTTAAGACTATTAAAATAGTAAGGTACAATAAATGGGCATATATTAGGTTTTTGTTTAACATTAAATCAAATGCTGATTAAATGAAGTAACTAACCATTCTTTGAATCACTTCCAACAAAATATATTTAGAGAGCATAAGAATCTATTTTCACATCACTGCATTATTACACATTTTAGTAAATAAACATTAATAACTACTTGCTGATCTAATGCATATTGAATAATGTGTAAACATGTAACAAATTCTCATACCTCTAAATTTTAATTTATTGCTAAAAGTTCCAATACACTTTTATAATAGAAGTGATGTAATGTAGAATGGAAGGTGACATTTAACAAAGTTGTATGAATGATAATTGTACAAATAAGTTTGTCATTTCAAATTATAACAACAATTTGAATAGAACAATAACTAGTTTTCCAAACTATTGTAATGACTGTAGTATGCTGTATTCTTGAAAAAATATGCCTCAATCAAATAAGGGGAATCAAACTATTTAGATCTACTGAATAAATTCAGCTGAAATTAAATTTCAAGTAATTCCATATATAAAGTTATCAACATTAAAATTGCTACTTTAAAAAAGATAAAAATTTTCAATGCCAAAAAGCTAAAAATATGTCTTTTAGGACATCTCATATATTTAATTTATAATTTATTATCTAAAGCCATTGTTATTCAGAAGTTCTAATATAGTTTTCTCATATTTTATTTATTCTAAAACAATGTTTGGCAATTTAGTAGTAATAAAATTATTAAAACATGTCATGCCATAAATATATGATGCTAAAGCTTGGCGAGGAGTATGGCAGTTAATAGTGTACAACATTAGAATCAAAACTTAATTAATAAATAATTTATTGTTCAATTATTGTCAGAATGACATTGTTAAACAGCAAGAGTAATCATTTATTGTTGCCTAATCGGTGGCAGTATGACATAGTGAAAGTGAGTACAGTATCGAAAAGATTTCAACATAAATATGGAATGTAGCAAACACTCAATTGACATGACCGTCAATCATTTTGGCGTACGGTCATTATTTGTCTAATAGTAAATTAGAGACAATAATTATTTACAATTAAATATCAACTATGCTTTGTAAATTAATATTCCTTGCTTTTACTGTATTGATATGCATTATTTTACACATTGTCAAAAATAAATATAAAAGTTGTTTAAACACAGATTTATAGCTGCTGGATAGAAATTAAACTTTAAAATAGGTTACTTAAATATGAAACTGTACACTGCAAGACATTAGCTCACTATTGACTGACCTTTTCCATAATATACAATATCATCGAAGGTTACAATCGAAAGATTCATTAAATATTATATAATTTTAATTGTTTCTATTTGAATTAATTTTATCTAAGACAACATACTTCAACGTAGACTATGTTTAATAGTGTTATCTTTTTATTTTATCTCAGTCTTAGTATTGCGAAACTCAAAGACAGTGCGAGGAACACGGACGCACAAACGCCATACACACCTACAACACAAATAGCGGGCAGTCGTTTCATAAAATTTCAATAGAAACAATTATTAAACCGATTAAAGTAAGACTAGTCGCGCTCGCCGGCCGGCCGGTCGCAGTCCACACAGTCACTGTCACCACACGGGCCCGTCGCCGTCGCACATATCACAAGGTACGCGTTCGTGTGACTCGTCGCGGGCGCGAGTCCCAAATAAATAAATTAGCAAGTCTATAATACTCCGGGACGCGCGTGCACTTCGGCGAGTGTGATCGTCCCGATAATGGAATGTAAGCGTGATATGGTAGAGGGGTGTTGCGGGGAGGAGGCGTCACGCGTCGGGCGGCGAGGGCAGCGGCGGCAGCGGCGGCGGCGCGCGCCGCGGCACCATGACGCAGGGCGGCGGCGCGGCGGGGAACGGCGCGGGCGGCCGCGCACCCATGCGCACCCACCAGCGCGTCGCCTTCTGCAGTAGCCCGTCCTTCTTGCCCGCGCCCCCGCCCGCGCCGCCCGCGCGCCGCGCCGGCCCGGCCTCCGCCGCGCCCGCCCACTCGGGCACGTCGCTCACGCACTTGTTCGGCGGCGGCTGGAAGCTGCTCCTCGTCAGCTCGGCTTGCTGGAAGCGAACGCGGGCACGGGTCACACACATTGCATCATCACTCTATGCACAATACATTTAAGTTACAAGTCGACTATCCAACAAGACTACTGTCAACAAAACAAAACCAGAATCCATAGGTATTAACGGTGTGAATGGAATCATGGTACCTTAGAAAGGGATGCGGGCGGGGAATTCGCGTTTTACATATTCATCTAATTAGCTACCACAGGTAAACGGCAGTGCTCATGATTTTTAAAGAAACATATTCTGTAAGCATAAATTCGCCTCTGGAGCATGGCACCTATTTTAGCAGAAACTATTAATTTGCCTTGCCATCCCATACTACCAACTATAAATGCTACAAAGGGGATCTTACTTCATACAAATGACCAATATTACATTTTTCATAAACTGTTGTATTTACACCGATTCTGATCAAACCTGTTTTGCACCAATTTGGTCATGAAAGAAATTGTTATTGAATGATTTCGGTAATTTTTTTTATCTCTACTCTAAACCTAATGCTAAACATGATCTCTTAATTTTGAGAAGAGAATGAAGGTGTTGTGAGTTTGCTTACTAGTTAGGGAAGTTTGAATTAATACAATGAGTAACATATTTAATATATTGTTTTTTTATTAGTATTTGGATGTAAGATCAAAAGTAGTTTATTAATTAACTATATCAATTGGAAATTTAAGTATTTATTTACAATTTGTGCTTGGTATTTCACAGTATACAAAAATTATTTTGAGGTCATAAAAAACTGGCTAATTTGCACTGCAGCGGCTGTGTATATATTGTTGTGATAAATAATTTTGCATAAGATGTTGATTTTCAAACTTTATATATAAATAGGACCTTAAAAAGCTTAGATATATAGGATATTATTTAAAATGAAAACATAGATATTTTATATAAGCGAGTAATACTAAATAAGAATGCAGAGTATAGCACTATCTATGATTTATTACTATAAACAATCATCACTATCTGCACCTATAAGCCAATTGTTAAGACAAGAACCTCTTTTTAAATGAGAGTATTGTTATGATAATAAATCCTGCCATAACTCTTCCAGGGCATATTAAAATACTACAAGTGTATGGGTAAACAATAGCATTAATTTGTTGTATATGTTTAGAATAAGAACTGAAACTGAAACTGGAATTATAAAACATCTTCCCAACATGAAATCAATCATTAGCTTGTGCTGCGATTTTAAACCACAAACAGACCCCTTTATCTGACAGACAGGTAATTTTACAGAGAGTATTCCTTTTCTGACAAAAATATAATTTGAAATAATTTGAGATGATTTAGACTTCTTGCATTCAAGCTGCCGTGTGGTGTTGGTTTAATAATATCACGTTTCGTTCCCATGGGTGTCGTAAGAGGGGTCTTGGGGAAATATCAGAAAACTCATGACTTTCGATACATGGCGGTATAATAATGTTATAGCACACGTAATATACCCAACCCGCCGAAAGAGGGCACCGTGAAAGGTGCGAGACGTCTGGTATTGCGATCGCTCATCCGCCTACCAAGGTAAATCCTCCGTAACGGGATAAGCTCGTGTTCAAAACATATGCAAATAGGATTCAGATTGCAGTAACATGATTATCAATTTTCCGATATGGCGACAAGACGTGGTAAGGAACCGCACAGAAGATATAGTGCTACATACAAACACAGATCTTGTCTAAACCTATCCAAGCTCCAGCTGACTACTGCTAGATGTAAGGACAGACGAGCATATAGTTCACCTGATAGTAAGTGAATATTTTAGTGCATAGACCATCTGCATTTATTTTCGAATAAAAATCAAAATTCATATGCATCGTCACCCCCGAGGACTAAGATGGAATGCTTTGTTACTAGCCAGGTATTTAAATATCATCAAAAAGATAAGATAAGAGATATTGGCTCTGGTCGGTCTACAGTACGTATTTCGTTGTAGCAGTAGAAGGTACTTACGGACCTGGTAAGGCACCCGCAGTTGCAGGTGCGCGTCCTGGCCGTACTCGCCGTCCGGCAGCCGTATGCTGGGCGGCAGGCCGAGCCGTTCCGCCGCCGCGGCGGACCTCGCACGCGTCTCCTGCTCCACCATCTCCTGCAGCCGCCCCACCATCGCCTGCAGCCTCTGCTGTTTCTCCCATTCCCTGAAATTATAACAATAAAGTTATATTGTTTTGATTTCTTTTAGTATAAAGAATAAGGGTGGTAAACGAGAATAAGGGTGAAAAGGAGGAGCACACAAGGCACCTGACGGTAAGTTGAACCTGTCACCCATAATAATCAAAATATTCTCTTCGACTAATAATCAAAATATAAGAAATAATGGAATGGAAAAAAAGGGTCTCCTACACTCATCATACGAAACACAGCAGTATTAACCTGCTATTTGCGCTGGTATTCTGTGAGTCGTCCCATTCGTACTACAAACATAATATAGCTACAGCGTGGCTCTACCATGTACAGTTACGTAATATAATATGTCAGTTTGTTTTAATGAGTATAAACCAAAAATACCCTCATTTCAATAATTTAACTAGACTAGCACATAGTAGGTACTTACAATAGAAATAATTTAAGCGCGATTAGAAGTTGTTTACCCTAAGTACAGGTTTTATTATCATTAGTTACGGGTGTATATATACGTAAAGCGTGGCGAATAGCGATTCAGTCAAATCCGACTGACAACGGAGTGTATATTTGTAGATTTCTCTATACAGGGTTATTTTACAAAAACCGGCCAAATTTGTAGAGAAGGTTCAGAATAAGTTATTGGGCTTAATGGTGAAGACAAAATTAATTTAAAAAATCTCTAACATTCTGTCCTTTTTATCTTTTAAATTCAAAATGCATGGTAATACATTACTTTAACTGATTTTATTGCGCACGCACACATTCGTAAGTGTCGATAGTTTTTTTTTGTATGTATGTTACGCGTTATCTTCGCAGTTTTGGAACCAATTCTGATGATTCTTTTTTTATTAAATAGGTCCAAGTATGACTCAAGGGTGGTTCCATATAAATTTGAAGAAAAAATTACACCCCTAACGGTAGCAAATAAATAACTTCTTTTTTAGCAATTTGAAGTCGGTTTATACTTTTTGTTAAAAGTTATAATTATTTTACGTAAGCGAGTTCCTGAAATGTATTATTCTTCATAAGCAAAGTCCACTGCTAGTTATGGATCTCCCTCGTTGAACGGAAAATTTAAATAATTGACGTAATCGTTACGCTTGGCAGATCACAATAGATCTTTTTTTCACAATAGATCTGCTCGCACAATTAAAAAAAAATTACTCTTGGTAGACAGATTGACATTCGCAGTAGAATACCAGACGTCTCACAGTTTTTACGTTGTTGCCAGTCGCCTATCTGGGTACTTAACTATTTTATGTCTGGCGTAAATGAGATACTATACCGTCATTTTTCGTAAGCCGTAAGATCTTTCTGGAACTACGTCCCGATACCAAACGTCGCGCGGACTCTTCATAGACCGCGTAATGTACTCATAGAACAACCACGCTCGCTCGATCCCGTCGAGCCAAACGACGCAGGCACTACACCCACATCAAATGGGACAAGTACAAATAGGATAACGGAAGGGGAGCGTCGCACCCGCAGGCGGGCAAGACGCGTTCCAGCACACACCGCGTACACACCGTACATAAGTGTATCTTTGCGGTTCTTACCACCCAGAACATCGACCAACACAAGCTAAGCAGTCAGAGGCGGGGGTTCGCTCACCCCCACTCGGACAGCGGTTAGATAGCTCAAAACATCTTAACAGAGGGTGCATGATGATTTGTAACAATACCAAATCATAAACCAACATCATCTTCATCATCATCATTGCCTTTCCCTTATTTAAGTGCCAGTTATTTAGATGAAGCTGCAAAAGCCGCATAGGCTAACAGCACTTACATTACAGAAAATAGACGATCTTTCTGGCATCATCTCACACTCACGGGACAAAACAGGGTGAAGAATACACTTACGCCGCGCGCACACGGTGAATTAGATGCATTTTAGTGTGTTTTCAATTTTTTATTTATGGTAATTACTTAAATAAACGAAAGTTTAAAATTGCAAAGTTTTGAGGTACTACATTTTAAGTCCGCCATCACCCGACGAATGTATGAATGCAATGTTGCTGTACTGTTCAATAAAAAAAAATGGACAGAGGAATATTTATATTATTTTAGGATAATATTATTATAGAATAATATCGTTAACAGAAACAATTTTTTTAAGAATTTCATGACAGACATTTCCGATAACATTTGCCTATTCTAATAATGATTTATTACTTTTAAAATGTTTGATATACACTCTTAAATTAATAACACGTATCGATTATAACTTTAAAGTTAAATATTATATTATAGTATAAAATTTTACACAATAATTTCCCACTGCCATTTAAGTTTTGTTATGATGATTGTGACAATGAGTAGCTGCGTAAAGGATCTCGTACTATCCCGTGGGTATCGTAAAGTCAACGCAAGTAAACGCCTCATAAACCTTGTAGTTTATGGTACGATGGCAGAATAATTTTATCTCAGATAGTACGCTACGGGTATACCTAGAGCATATCAGTAAAGCGCGGCGGGGTCTAATGCTTGTATTTATATCTCTAAACCTGTAGCCAAATAAATATAGTGATTATGGCAAAACAATTAGGTTACTGAGGCGCATAGGGGTTAATCTTATTGTAAATTTGCTTACAAGATAAGAATCATGGTCATTTATTTAGCACGGTTGATTACCGCGTGTGCAGGCGTTAATGAATTTTCAAAAGCCACTTTCACAGAGATCGGGAATGCTAATCATTACTTAAAATGGAATCCATCGATTGAGTTGTTTTCAAGAAGATGCTGATGCCCTTTCTCTGTTCATTTCTCTCCGCCGTTGCTTACGACACCTACGAGATTTTTTTTTATAGGATAGGGTGACAAACGAGCACACAGTCCACCTGATGGTAAGTGGTTGCTGTGGCCAATAGACATCTACATCTATCCTCGTTTGCGAATCAAAATGCAGATGCGTTGTCACCCGTGAGGACTAAGATGGAACGCCTCTTTTTCAGTAAAAAGGATCTCCGGTACTCGACACTCATCATACGAAGCACAGCAGCATTAAGCTGCTATTTTACGCTGGTATTCTGTGAGAACGTGGTCCTTCCCCGGTCGAGCAGACCCATTCGTGCTACAATTATACTACTAATATAGCTGCAGCATGGCTTTACCACGTATAATGACATAGAGTAGTGAGGTCTATACGCCTCCACTACAAGGTTAGAATAGAATAGAATAATACTTATTCAATATAGATTACTAGTAATTCTTATTGTAAGAAATTTTCATCTAGTCATACTTAACATAATATTATAGTTACAATTTTAATTGAAATCTTATTCTAAAACAACATTGAAGTAATATGTACTAGTACATTGTACTGCAATTAGTTCAGAATCACCGCATGAGTACCGAAAACTATTCCACTTCAATTTTTTTATGCGATTCTCTTCAAATTCTACTGATGACATAAATGCATGCATGGTGCAACTCGGTGCCATATTATTTAAACCGATTTTTTATTATATTTTTTTTTAAATTAAATACGAATAAAAACTTTTTACGATAAAGATAATATTTTCGGAGTTATGAAATTTTAAAGGTTTGAAAAATCACAAATTCGGATACTTTCGACCCATTAAAATACATAAAGAAAAAGAATAAGATATAAACGATATATTTTTATATTCTTTAATGAAATACGAATAAAAAAGGTCCTATGACTTTTTACAATAAAGTTAATATTTTCCGAGATAAGTATTTTTAAATGTTTTAAAATTCCCAAAAGCAGATACTTTTGACTTATTAAAAATATATAAAGAAAAATAATAAAATATATTTTTATATTTTCTTTCATGAAATACAAATAAAAAAGGTCCTATGAATTAATAGGACAATTTGAAAAGTATCGAATAAAAAAATTGACGTGGAATAGTTTTCTGTACTCATGTGCCGATTCCACCTGGACTTAAACACATGCATTTTAGTGTGTTTTCAATTTTCCATTTATCGTAATTACTTAAATAAACGAAAGTTTAAAATTGAAAAGTTGTGAGGTACATTTTAAGTGAATAAAAATATTTACTTAAACTCTGTAATGTTGATTGCACTTATCTGAAAGATGCAGCATTAACACAGTAACAAATTATAGTTGTTTAGAGCGATTGACATTATCATGTACTACTGTTATTTATTGTTTTGTCTATACGCCGGTCTGGACAGATACCGAGGCAAGAAAATGAGAGTAGGTATGAGAACTATCACGCTTTGTTGACAAGTCACTGTGTGGTCTCAATGCTGTGTATCCTGCAGTAATTATGTCATCATCACCATTAAGCTTATCATAGTCCACATCCGAACATAGGTCTTCCCCATAGATTGCCTCACAGGATTGATATTTACTATAGTTTATAGTTATCAGGAAGATGCTCTTCATCTCCTTTTTTAGTTACCTCTACCGTCTCACGTGGCACGTTTAGATCATCGAACGAACAACTCGGCGAGTTATTCGTGGCCGAGTACGATGCGTTTACATATTCGTCTATATTCATTCAACGTAGATCTTTTAAACACGGATGACGTGCGTCTCGTTGCTACGACTTTATGTCTACTTAATATTTATTTATTTTTCACGTGGTAGAGCCACGCTGCAGGTTTATTATGGTTGTAGCACGAATGCGTCGGCTCGGCCGGGGTAAGACCACGCTCTCACAGAATACCAGCGTAGAATAGGAGCTTAATGCTACTGTGTTTCGTATGGTGAATGCAGGGAACCGGAGACCATTTTTACTGGAAACGAGACATTCCACCTTAGTCCTCATGGGTGACAACGCATCTGCATTTTGATTCTTAATCGAGAATAAATGTGGATGTCTATGGGCCACAGCATCCACTTAACATCAGGTGGACTGTGGGCTCATTTGTCACACTTATTCTATATAAAATCATTTAAAACCGATTTCTAGGAGGTTTTCCTTGATAAAGTTCTATACATTTAATAGTGGATTCGTCACTCCAATCCATCACAGTAGATATGTATTTTTATTTTATATTATTAATTATTTTATAAGAAAAATAATAACCACCTGCGAAAAAGTTCACGGGTCAAGCGAATATTGACGAGTATGTAAACACCTATACGAATACACACGAGCATTCCTTTGACTCGTGCTGAAAAACCGACATCGAGTGGAGAATAGGTGAATACTCGGGCCGAGTAGCGAGTACACCCGAACAACAAACAGTTTTTAACAGTGGTAGAGCCACGCGGCAGCTTTTGCTGTCGCAAGGATGGGTCGGCTCGACCCGGGGTGGTACCACGACCTCACAGAAAACCAGCGTGAAGTAGAGGTTTACCTCTGCGTTTCGCTTGGTGAGTGCAGGTGGCCGGAGGCCCTTTTTACTTGAAATGAGGCATTCTATCTTAGTCCTCACGGCTGACAACGCATCTACATTTTGATTTGTAATAGAGGATAGATGTAGATGTCTATGGGCCACAGCAACCACTTACCATCAGGTGGACTGTGTGCTCGTTTGTCACCCTTATCCTATAAAAAAAAACAAGGCATAAAGAATACATATTCCTACTCGAGCCTATTCGTTTGTGCTCGGAGAGTATTTAAACGTTACATTACGACGTCCACGGGAGGATACGGGGTAATAGATTTTATTTCGGCTCCATTGCATGGCAAATGTGCAGTGTTACCAACTCGAATTTTTCCAAATCCATAGATTGGTATAAAAATTTCCGTAGAATTCCGTAGATGCTATTTCAAAATATTCGTAGATCTGCAGACTTCTTAAGAGGATCAAAAGTTTTTGTTTTTGTCATTGAATAGATCAATTTTTTGTAAATGTAAATTCTTGTAAGTTCAATTGTAGGTATTATAACATCGAATTAAGCTGCACATATAAGAATAAAGTACCATAAAAAATTGATAAAAATTAATTGTTTCCTTTTACTTAAATTATTTAAGTAAAAACAAATAAAATAATTATCTTAAATATTTGTAAAAAAAAATCATTTACACCTTTAAGTATTTGAAAAAAGAATATCTGCCTTTCTTATGTCAAATTAAATTTTTCCGCTGAGATATCGATTGTCGGTTAAGTTCACACTGATGTTAAAAATATTTTTTTGTTAAGTTTTTAAAATTCTAATTATTCTGAAAGGACTGTGAAGTACAAAAAAAACTAATTAACATGGAAATTAAATTCCGTAGATTTCAACTTAAATTCCGTAGTTCCGTAGACGATGAAAAAATTCCGTATATCTGCGTACGTAGTAAAAAGATAAAAATATGAACTCTATGCTTATATAAGGCATTCTGTAAGTCTTTCTGTACGCATGACCTGTGGGTCATTTATGTACATACATGCTTTATGTGCAGGCATCCCTTCAGAGAGCTGAAGAACTCCCGCAGTTTTGTAGAGGTTCAATTATTACATTAAGTTCTTACATGCGTTATATAGAAATAAAACAATTATTTCTCTAATTCTACATTATGAATATCGGTTAACAGTATTTTTTCTTGCCCAATATTTTTGGGTTGCCGTATGGCAGCGGTGTAAGTGGGATAACCCATTAATCCAGCTCTTCATATGTACCTATAAGATCTTGCGCCTTCTGCGATGGCAATATATCCATTTCGTATATATGTAAGTATACTTTGGGTGTTTTTTTTTATATTGGTGGGCCCGGCTGGAATTAGAAGGCACAACCCGCGGCGTAGTAGCCAGGTTGCAAGCAATATGCCGTATTATCGTTAAATAGAGTAATATACTCACAATGTGGAATGATGTCTGTGATCGTGACGTAGGCGCGGCCCCCCCGGCGCGCCCAACCGCTCCATGCCCGCGCACCCCGGCACTTGCACCGAGAGCATCTGTAAGTCACAACACACTGCTCTCACTTATGTGGTTCTCCTTAACATTAGTACGGCGTATAAATTAAAAAGAAATAATAATATGCTATTAAATTTTTTATGGATGGCGGGACAAGAGATTCAATTTTCTCTTCCCATGGATATTGTATGAAAAGGCTATGAAACATGCCAGATAGATTTCAAAACATGGTATGGTATAACTATCAAGTGTGCGCCAGATGTTGTGCCATAAAAATGCATAGCTAAGTAATATTTTTGCAACGGTGGCAGTCTCATTATTATGAAACATATTTTTTTAATTATCTCACTTTTGTTTGTACTTTTTTTGTAGACTCCTTGAAAAAGTTAAAGCCGCTTATTCAGAAGCACCATAATGCCAATGATTGCTTGTTACAGTTGAATTATCCCTTTATGATAAGTCCTTGTCCAGCAATGTATATTATATTAAATATATAATTTACACTATATATATCCTCAACTCAGACCAACAAATTAAGTACAGACAGAGTGCTTCGCACATTTCAAGAGTCGCAAAAACCATGCTCAATCTAATTTTAAATTAAAAATGTTGTACAACCGACTTCAATATAAATTATTAAGAATAACTCAAAGACCATTGGTCAGACCTTGATCAAATTTATATGGGACCACATGTGAAGCACCAGCTTTCAAATAAAAAAAAATCATTGAAATCGTTTCACCTAGACAAAAGTTCTGAGGTAACACATATAAAAAAACATACAGTCGAATTGAATGCCTCCTCCTTTTTGAAGGCGGTATAAAAGAAAGAAGATGTTGCATGAGTGTGTCAAGAAGTTTAGCATGGTTTCATCATGAAAAATCGATTTTAGTATCATCCAATTGGGCATAAAAATAAAATGATATTACCAACACGCTGCTACACAGTCTTGAAAAGTTTGGACATGGAAAAGGTTCAAGAATTGGAGAAATATTATACAAATTTTTTTGTTATACATATATTAATATTTAAATTAAATAACGTTATCGAAAAGAATCTTTGAAAATCTTAATAAAAATGTTATTTACTAAAATTAGAAATAACAGTTAAGGGGTTTGCCCTTAACTATTATTTTTAATTTTTAACCTCATACATTATGTTCATGTTTTTAGTGAAATTGACTTTTATATGTATTGTTATTTAAAGTCTTATTTGAGAATAGCAACCTGCCCCTTCGCCTGGATAGGATCTCCTAATGTGGTGTTATTTAATTAGACAAATAATGACCAAATTTATTGAAAATAAAACTTCAAGTTCTTCAAAAAAAAAATAGCATAGATCTCCTGGAATTGCGCTCTATGTTATTTATTTATTTATTGCTTCTCTATCTGTTCGTAAAGTTTCATTACAATATGATCAACCATTCCAAATATTAGCCCGGACTGACAGACAGACAAAAATTTTAAAAGTGGTTATTTATATCATAATAGCATGCAAATAACCCCCTAAGCTTAATAGAAAACAGTTATTTCAATATTACTTACAGACACTTCAACTTTATTTATAGGTATAGATTTTATTTTCATATTTTGCATATAAATAGTGATATATTAAAATAGAAAAACCAACAAACGAAATTAAGTGACAAATGAAATTAAGCAACAAAAATAAAGCTTTGAGGACCCAAATGAGATCATGTGTGTCCAAAAATATATGAAACAGTAGTTCTAGATTGACACTATAATTATTACAGTGTTCATTCTCAAGTGCACAGGAGCATCCTTGAGAGACATGAAACCCTTTATTCTCATGAATCTCTACATGTTTATCAACCACAGCCTGGGCTACCTACCAATATTATGGCAAATTTTATAACTCTTAAATGATGGCTCTAAATAGTATAAGTAAACAATTTAATTAAATATGTGAGGAAAGTTTAATTGTAAATGGAAATAAATAAACACATCAACACTATATAAGAGATATTTTAAAAACATTGACCAACTAAAAAAGTATTGGCCACTTTAAAAAGTTTTTAATATCAAATTGTTCATCATTTATTCCAGATTAATTAAAAATTTAAATTAAAAAAAAATGTGTTAGCGGTACAAATCGAGTTGAATTAGAGGGAGTGAATTTCGTACTCAAAAGTAATTATAAAAGTGTTATTTTTTTTGTTGAAAACTGCTATTATTTAAACATTTTTTTGATTTATCTTGGGTTGATTGTGATAATTTGACATTATATAGCAATACATCGTCAATATTTAACTGTAGAAGAGATGTTAAGAGCAGTGGCAATGCTGAAGGCTAGTGCTTTTAACATGACGTCACCGAGGCAATAGGCACCAGGCAAAATGTGATTTTGAGGTTGTGGTCACACTATTGTGCCGTTCCTACCGTTTTTTGAAAATTGCTGCAAGTAGGCAGCCAAATATTATGGAGATGCAATTGATCCAAAAGCTAAAAGCTAACAACTGCGTCAGCTGAGCCTGAGTCACCAGGTGCTTGTGAGTGACCAAACTGTGAGGAGGAGACTGCACAAAGTCAACCCTCATGCTCGTAGACCACTTCGGGTTCCAGCTCTAAGAAGAGGAAATCATGGACGAAGACTGCAATGAGCTAGAGAACATGTTAACTGGGAACCTCATCAATATTATTGGTGCTTTTGATCAATGAATCCCGATTTGTTTTTCATCCTAATTCTAGAAGAGTACGTGTTTGGAGAGTTCCTGATCATAGAAGCAGGCTTCAACACCCCCAAGAAGTTCATACATACCAAGTTGGTACAATTATGGTGTGGGCAGGAGTTTTTTTTGGTGGAACAATAGACCTTGTTTGGATGCTAGAACTAATAATCAAACACAAATGGGTCAAAATTTCTTGTTTATGCACAATAGGGCCAGGGTGGTAACAGCCTGGTTCCATGAACATGATGTCGCAGTCCTAGCCAACGTAATCCCCATATTTAAATCCCATTGAGCATGCTTGGGATATGCTCCAAAGAATAGATCTGAGGGATTTTCCTGAAAATCTGTTTACAGAAGAACAAGTTTATATGCATCTCAGTAGGACCTGGGACAATATTCCTCAAAAGGATATTGACATCGCTTCTCGGCCTTTTGGCTAAGATCAAAGTGTAATAATAAGGATATTGACAGCTCCATTCTGGGTATGCCCAACCGATACAGATGCATTATGAATGTCATGGATGCCTTTACTGATTATTAATTCTTTAATAGCCACCTTTAAAAGGCTTTTACTTTACTTTATTTTTTAATTTAAAGATTAAACTTTCATAATTACATAATTGTTTTTTTGCATATTAATCTGAAATCTAATTTGAAGTCAATGTTTATATAAAAAAAAAATAGTAGATTATTGAATAAAGTTTTCTTGATATATAAATGTCTTAAGAAAATATTCACATACATACTCTGTGGGATTGATGTGTGTCCCATAAAATGTTGATGTGTTTAATTATGTTTTGCACTAATTGTGCTTAGATAAATTAATAGGGTATATTTTGCAGATTTGCAATGTATATTTTAGATATAAATGCATTAATAAGCAGTGAATGAAAATAAGAAGAATTTCTAGCTCCAATACATGACCAAACACTAATTAAGCTGTTGTAGTTATTGCTTACCAATTGTACTGCAAATAAGGTTAATTCAAATAGCATCTCTAATATAAAACTGATTAATTATTATTGGCATTGAACCTTATTACATAAAACATCCCTGGCGAGGAGTGGAGTGACGAGCACAATGGCAAGCATTGTAACCAACCAAAAAATATCAAGAAATAAGGTCAACTTTTGCATGTACATCCCAAATCGTAATAAAATATAGTTTTTTATTAAATATTGTGTCATGTTCTGCACTAATTCCCTAAAGTAATACTTCCATGTTTTATTTTCGTGTTTGCTGTGAATAAGTTTTTATATAAACTACCAAGACTATATACTACTGTTAACTGAGCATAAGGATTTAATTGTATGTTAATATAAAACATTGTATTTAAATATTTTAATTTAGAGCCTCCTCAAGGATTATCAAATCACATTGACAGGCTGTTTATCTTTTCTTTAATTAAATATAAAACATAATATTTACTGTGAACAAGACTTTGAGAATCATGCTTGTATTTGATGGATGCAGTTGAAGTGTTTCAGCAATGACATGGATAGTTGACGGGCTGTAATGATAAGGATGATGATGGCTGTAGCTGCAAAGTTTAATGTTTTTTGATAGCAAAAAGTAATTATCATTCTAGAGGAACATTTTATATGGTTCTAATATCAATTTTTTTCTTTACTTATTATAAGTCAGTGCTTGAATACATTAGCAGTAAGTGTTGATAAAGCTTTAGACTTAATTGCACTATCTTTGAAAAATATAAGCCTACTTCAAGACATCCAGATTGTAATAGAACAGAAAGAGACGCTGGCCAATTATTCCACCTTTGCTGTACACTGTTTGAAGGCATGGAGTATCGACAACATAGAGGTGGAGACCTGCCAACTAACTGGTTGTCCAATGGTGGAAAGGGGAAGGAGGAATCCATCTGTCAAGCATGGCAAATAACCGGGAATACCCCCAATGCGGCAATCTATACAGGAGTAATAAAAATGAAATCAAATCGATTAATTGTTTCTGTAAATAATAATGAAGTTCACCTAAATACTTTATGACGTTTGTTAAAATTGGGGTACTTAATAGGGTAGTTTGGAAACATCATTAAATAATATAAATTATATTGTTTCAACTTTAGACATTATTTAATTACTATGTTCTTTACATAATTTTGTAACTTTCATATTTTTGTATTTGGAATCGACATTTTTATCAGTTTGAAATTTAATTGAGAATTTCTTAAATAACCATTTGTTGTAGGTATAAAAAAGTTAGGTGTAAATTTTAAGTACCTATATAATCTGATTTGGCTGCTAACTACATATACCTAGTTTAGGATATAACTTACAGAAGTAAGGTTTATATAACTCTATTCGCCTATTTAACATTTCATATGACTATCTAGGTACTTTGTTCTTTTTAAGGTAATAAGTAACTGTGGGAGCGTAGTGATAAATTGAAGACTGTTGCCTATAAATGTAAATATTCATATATATTTGACATTGAGAATTTAAGATTTTTAACCTGAACTTTATGATTTTATGACATTACCTACCTAATAGTGTAAATGTAGGAATTGAGAATAAGCATTACTTATAATGCAAACAGTTTAAATTTAGATAAATGTTATAGAAATTACCTACTAATATTTTGATAAGGGATAACTTACATTGGAATAAACCAAGATAATATTCTCACAAGAGTTGTGCAGATATTATTGAGTTGGCGTGTCACGACTATCGCAAGAGGTGATTACGGAACTGTCTGTCATGAAAATTTATTTAAATTCACACAAACAACGTCTGGGCGTGACGTCGCTATCGGCGCGGTTCTTATCACTTGGCACGCTCCCGCTGTCTCGCGGCCGCGGCGTCCGAGCTGCCTCGGGCCTCACTCGTCCGCCGCCAGCCACCAGCCGTTTGCCTCCACCATAAACGTTATCTCACACGATCGTCATAATATCATTACTAGTTTCTTTCACATTATATGGAAACATTTGGTTTTAAAACGAATAATGTTATGTCTTTATTAGGATGCATGTTTTCGATAATGAATTGATGTTTTACTTACTATTTGATTTAGTGTTGTCCACGATTTTGTAGTTAGGTATAAATTCACAGTTGATAGGGTTTGTTCGTATGCATTACACTCCGATGAATTCACTTGTACAAATCAAACTCTACTAATGTTTAGCTTCATCTTGATGTCACACTTTCACTCATTTTGGCAATTTTGTTTAGTTGAAGTATAAAATATTAAAACAAAACAATCACAAGGACACGGCGATTACAACACCCGTAAAGCGTTTTGACTATAATTTAACTATTATTCACTAATAAATAATAAATATGGTTTTCAATATAATAACACTATAAAAATAAATAATTTATAAAACAAAGATAACATATAAATTCCACTATCGCGTACTTTGTGGTAGAGTTACAGAGAACTCTTTTATTCATATTGGCAGGAAGACGCCTGCCATCGAGCAAGTCTTGTTGTTCAATGACGCTGACGCGGCCGCGCTATTTCGCAGTCGCGTAGCGGGGAGACCGAGCGGGTGACGGTGCACCGGCTGCCCCGATGTCGCCGCACACAAAGCTGTGGCGTATAACGTCGACCCCGCACACATGCCAACAATCTGTCTACTTGCATTCGTGTGCTCAATTGGAAGGCGGGCTGTACGTCCAAGACAGTAGTGTGGGTAGTACTAGACGATAGTGAGTTAGTAGAGTAGTGAGTGTATAGTGTATACATACACGGGTACACATGTAAGCTCGATCTCGATTCTGCCACAATCTCGTTTATGTATGCGCACCTATAATTGTAATAGTAAGCGATGACGCGTTTTGTCGGCTCGTGAGACGAGACGGTTGGCATTGCTCAATGATTGAGCTGTACTAGAGTTGTACGTAACGCCCAATAACATAACATAAAAAAATTAACACTTTCAGCTGATATCACTAATTTTATAAGCTTGTGGTTAAATTTCATTTTTAAATTTGAATCGTCCTTGCAAATACATTGATCGTTTTCTTTTAACTCGTTACGTTATGTATGTGATCGGTCCATGAGGATGTCGAATTGACTTCATTAGGCGGAGTTTCTCTACTAGTTCAGAAAGAAGGAATTCATTATATAGAGGCCTTCCCTGTTTATGAAGCTAGACAGTTTTTGCACTCTTGGGTACCGTTCTGTAATCCCAAAGTTCCCCATTCTCAGTTTATGGTCTCTTGTGACATCCTCATGCGCCACCTCCACCTCCTCAACGTGCTGTGCAAAGTTTGGTGCGTATACCTGTATGACCCAACGATGCACTCCCAAACTTCACAATGTTCTTAACGAAAGTTTTTAATATGTGGATGATAAATTCGACATCTCCTTGGGACAGATGATCACCCTTCTGGTGAAAGAGCAATTTACTGAATTGGAGAATTACCTCCCCCTGTCTTCAGAATTCATATAATCCTATAACATCCTATATAGAGGGGATATGAGTCATAGTTGTCAGGCTTGACAAGCGGTTTAGCAAACGATGTTTTTTATTTACTTGTTATAAGGAAAATGCAGCTGCCCGTCTCCTGGTTCCGTTTTTCTCTCTCCCACCTTACGACATCAACGTACAGTGTTACCAACTCGAATTTTTCCAAATCCGTAGATTAGTATAAAATATTATATATACCGTATATATACCGTAGTTCTGTAGACGTTGAAAAAATTCCGAGACAATCAAAATCTACGGAAACAAGATCTACGGAAAAATCCGTACAGTTGGCAACGCTGCCCACGGAAGAATATGGGATAGTGAATATTTTTACACTGCCGCTAAACGGTTATCTATGATAATAAGGAATATATAAAGAGAAATAATACCTGGAAATGATGTAATTGCTATTAAGCTGTTTCTGTATACATACAAATTGTAAATTTTATTTACAATAATGTTGCTGTTACACATAGTTCTAGCTAGCTAAAACTAGGTGTAACTGTAACCGCACTTCGGCTTTTAGCCGTAACATTTATAAGTGATTTTTAATGTTTTATTTAAACGCACGCCGGTACGAGGCCGTCACTCGAGAACCTTTTTTCCCCATTGGTTGTTGGTTCTTCGAGCTATATGGCCGACCCGTTGCCACATCAGCTCACTAATCCGTTGGGCTATGTCGGTCACTCTGGTTCTACTGCGGATATCCTCGTAAGTCTATCACGCAGAGAAACCCCGAGCACAGCCCTCTCCATAGCTCACTGAGCGACCTTGAGCTATCTGACGAGAAGATGTGTCGTAATTTCCCGAACGCTGCCCAACCGAGTTGAATCCGTCGAAGGTTCATCCGTCGAACTCTCGGTCGAAGTTGGATTTACCTAGTCGGACTATTTGTCCCAGGTAAACATACTCATCAACAACTCCGAGCTTAGTGTTCCCAATAACTAGGCATAGGTGTGACATGGACGTTACACATGATCTTTGTTATGTCCATGTTCATCTTAAGATCTGTCCGTTGGGAGGCACTATAGAGGTCATTGCGCATAGTGCTTAGGTCCTAAAGCGATTTTGCCATAAGGACTACATTCTGGCCAAATCGTAGGCGTAGTCTTTCCAGTCCATTAGCTTGAAAACGTCGTCTAATACAGCGGTGAAGAGCTTCAGAAATATAATTATTAGGTAACGATATCATTAATGAAGACCAGAAAGGAAAAGCTTCCAAGGTGCAACTTGTGATACTCCATTTTTAATTAGAATTGGGATAGACGTATAGATATTAGTGTTGCCAGGCCCAGCATATCAAATTTTGGGACGGAAAGTAAAAATAATAGGGAATTTGGTTTTCAATTCGGGACAGCTATACTGAATACAAAAAAAAAACCAGAGATTTTGAAGTCTTTTTGGCCGCCATGAGATATCTTCAACACCCAGACAAAAATCTTTGCATCGTACGCATAATGTCACTTTATATAATATAACCGCTTGAAGAAGTGATAGAAGTTCTAGCACTAGTCAATTTGTAATAAAATACAAACGTCTTGTAAGGCCCACAAGACGTTCGTATTTCAATAAATTTACTTATCTTAAACCAGTGTATAAATTATGTATTGTACTACTTATTAGTAAAATAATGAAATATCTATGAACGTCGAATTAATAACGCCGTGCGCTGCGTCTCGTCGGGGCGGGCGGCATCAGGCAGCGGAACAAAAACGAGTGATAAAATGAAAAATTTTGTGCAACCGACTTCAATATAAATTATTAAGAATAACAAAAAAAATACTGGTCAGACATTAATCAAATTTATATGCGACCACATCAGCTTCCAAATAAAAAATTATCAATTATATGTTCACCTAGAAAAAGTTATGAGATAACACACATAAAAAAAATCCTTTTTGAAGTCGGTAGAAAAACGAGGTTGCATGAATGATATCTGTATCTCGCCAACACAATACGCGCGAAGTTTAAAACTTCCATGTTGAATATTTAGTCTCGAGTTTGGTGAGAAAATATGAGTATGTCAATGCAAAACATTTTAATGTAGTAGTTAGTAGCTTACAGATGTATTTATTTTTGCTGACAAAATTATTGATTTGAAAAATCGGGACATTTGGCGTCCTAACCAAGGATGAATCGGGACGTGTCACCAGAACCCTGAAAATCAGGACGTCCCGCACAAATCTGGAAACCTGGCAACTGTCTTTTTGGCATAAGTAAAACTGCACCCATCGAAGATCCGTGGACACGATAAGCATTATGCCTTTTCCAATATAAAATCCATTAAAAACTATTTTAAAATTAGTAATGATATAGTATCCACTTGCTCCCTTTAAGCAATAGCAGTACTCAAAAATTCTGGTATTCAAATAGATTGATATCTGTTGACTAGGATTCAACGATGCTGTGTTGAACTTTAGCAAGAGAAGGCTTTTAACTGCTTCTAGAAGTGATCATATACCCCGACTTCGAAAAGTTTTACTATGCTGCAGAGGATACTAATTCGTCGATACTTATGTATTGGAACCACACGAGCAATCTTCCATAAGGTTGGGAATTGATAAACTGTTAAGGATCTATTGAATGTTATAGATAAAGATATTATTAACTTATGGACACATTTGAACAAGGGTGGTATACATCCGGGGCCATATTAATTGATCGTCATTCATAAATATCTAACGCCTAATATTTTACTACGCACACACATCCATCGTAAGGGTCGATCGATCGGTAAAAACATTCTAAATTGAATTGCGCACACATAGGTTAGTGTTGTGCGTTAGTTTTGCCCATAAATCACCTTCAATTTGGGATAATTTCAAATAAAAGTAGAAGCCTTATTTAATAGTATTTTCAAAAACTGCAATAACGGTATATCATTATTTATATATTTGAACTTAAGTTTAAAATTTGGCTACTCTGAAAAATAGCCCTTTATATAAATTTGTATTTTTAATGTACGAGTACATTACATTTATATTGTAATTAAAAACGTGATTAATTTTTAGGTCAAAGATTGTCAGAACGCCTAGTAATCTCATTGTGTTACGATTCGATTCCACAAAAAAGTTGACTGAGGAAGAAAACTTCTTGTAAATCGCATAGTCGTGAACCCCCAATCATGCAGATCGTATGGATGATATCTCGAGTTTTGTCCCGATGTGCGATGGTGAAATTGAACGGCTGGAATTAGTCGAACAATTCCTCTGAGCACTCCCCATGGTAAATGCGATAGAATACGCAAAGAGATGCAACATCTTTTCACAGCACCAATGAATCAAGCTGATCAGAAAGAGCTCAGTCAAATAGGAGGAGCTGGCACTGGGAAGCCCCGGCACAGCGATGGGAACAGTATTACAGTCAGGCCGAATCTACGCCTTGTGAAGTTGCAGGTGGCGTACTGGCATGAAATACTCTCCCACTCTGTTGAGCCCGCCAAGCTTTTTAGAGGCCAATTTGGAATCCGATACTGGCTGAGGCAACAAGGGGAGTGCCCTGAAACTGAGGAGATACGACAAAGGGGTTCTTTTTAGCGGTAAACGCGCAAACTTCGTAAATTCTTATGGGAATTGAACTGGACTTTGTTCAACAAAGATTCGACTTAAGACACAAGTTTGTTCCGTCGTTCGGTGACGTTTTCCCGAGAAATATTCGTACGGCTGTTGTATAGAGCATCACCAGTGATGTCGTCCGAAACGCAATGAATGTTACCGGTTTGCAACATATCATTGATATGCAGAAGAAACAGCGTTGGTGATAGCACGCAGCCTTGTGGGACACCAGCGCTAATAGGCTTGTAATCGGAACGTGCACCGTCTACTACGACCTACATGCTCGGATCTGCCAGAAAACTGGTGCTCCAATTGCACAATTTCTCGGGAAGCCCATAGGAAGGAAACTTCGAAAGAAGCGCTTTGTGCCAAATCCGACTGAAGGCCTTCGCTATGTCTAAATGAACCGCAGAGGACTTCCCCTTGGACTCGACAGCCTGCGCCCATCGGTGTGTTAGGTAATCAAAAAGAT